AACTCTTCAAGTAATAAGTTGTAAGTTCCAAATCTACTAATAATAAAAATTTAAATAATTATCTATATAATACTTATATATTATAGCAATAGCTTTTTTGTTGATTAGTTGAAATAAGATACCTGTAACTATAATTGTATTAATATGATTAGCAGATCATAAGGCATTTGTGTATCTTTAGTTATACAAAAGAATACAAACTGATACTAGATAGTACAAACCTAAGATAAGTTCTTGTGTCTATATAAATTTGTAAAACTGAAAAAAACTGAAATCTATTTGAAAAGATCCAAGTAAAGAGATAATACAGATCTTTGATAATACTATTGTAAAAACTAAATTTAGAAAATGAATATCAATATGGAGAAGCTAAACAGGCAAACCTCAAAGTAAGAGGTATTACCAATCAAATTACTGAAATCAAACCAAAAAAAATGATATCAGATTGGCTTAATATATCAAAAACAGGTCACAGTCCTACTAGGTTATTTGAATTAAAAGTTTGAAATTAAAACAGATATATATTATAAATATTAGAAATATGCTATGAAGTAGATGCTAAAGTTTGAGTAAATTCTACAAAGACTAGTCTTGTTAATATTTTATAAAGTAAGTAGGTAGTTAACAAAAGAATATCTCAAGATCTTACAGTTAGATAACATGTTCTAAAATGTATAACAGCTTGACAGACATATAAGAAAAGAGGCTAAATATTAAATTAGATGACACTTAGTTATATAAAAACTAAGTGTTACTTGTCTGAGTGCAGTATAAGAATTAGAGTATTTAAATAAGTATTATTCTAGTAAATTACAAATATGGCAGCTAGTATAAATCCCTTAAGTGAACTACTAAATAGATAACCAAAAGTTACATATATAGCTAGTTATACATTTACTTTGTACAAGTTATATCTAATGTATTAACTAAAATATAAATAAAAATGATAACTATTAATAATATTAGTTTTAACAAAAAAAACATTATACTTTATATAGATGTCTTAAGCTTCTAATAATAGATAGAATCTAATTTGATATATCTAAGTTACAGTTGTATAAGTTTAACTGATTAATAAAAAATAGTTATTATAATTTAAATTAGTTTTCAAATTTTATTATAAATAAGATTTGAATAATAGATTTGTTATTTTAAAAATAATAACTTGACTATTATACTTAGATTACTATTTTTAAATTATCCTGTTTGTAAATATAATAAGTCTTAATTTTTATTATAGAAGTAAGTATTTTATTAAAAATAAATATAATACTAAGTTATTGTATAATATTAAAATTTAGAACATTTGCAAAAACAGCAAGTAATAACAGATCTAATTTGAAATACAAAATGATTAAAAAAACTAATAATAGCAATAGGTTTAACTTAAAATATAAGTTTATTATAGATTCTAAACTATTGTTAAAAAACTTTAAAGAAAACAATAACAAACATATTAAAAATAAGAGATTATAAAGATTAAACATATCTGAGTAGAACTAATTTAAAAATAATATAGTAATAAAAAGATAAAAAATATAAAGAACAAAGTATTATGAGATATAATTAGATTAAAAAACAAAAAAACATGATTAAATAAAATATATAAGTAAAAAATATAAATACAATTATAAAAAACAATATTTCTGATATTAGAATATCATATTAAGTTCAAAAATATTCTTGTCTGTATAGCAATTTAATAATATAACCTAATTATAAATGGTTGTTAAGATAATTGTATACAAACATGTAACAAATATAAACTTAGATATTATATAAATAACTGTATAAAATCAGTAAAGTAAAATTAGGATAACTAATATAGTACTAGTAATAATTAATTCTGTAAATGTAATTATATCAAATTTAGAATCTAATAAACTGACAGTGTTATCAAAGTTTTTTTAAACCAGATCTTTTTTTTTAAAAAAAAACAAAAAAAAAAACAAAAAAATTTTATAAAAAATCCAAGTTTAGAAAATATATTTTGGGGGGTTTTTTTTATAAAATTAGACTTTTATTATTTTTTGATGAACTGTTTACTGGCATTTGTTATTAAATATTTTTTTGAACTTGAATATCAAATATAAAGAAAAATTCACCTAATAGAGAACTTGACTTTAATACAAATTATTACAAATTATACTCATGCCTTAGTTTTTTACATCTTGTATTGCTTCATTAACGACAAACCTTTTTCAAAAAAAAAATAAACCCAAAAATAACTTCTAAGCCTGAAGTCTTCAACTTGCTTTTAGTAAAAAACTTGATTCAAGTGATTGTTGAAAAGAGTTTGAATCTTACTAATATATAATTCAATAACAAAAACCGTCAACTATCAATATAAAAAACCAGACATTATTATAAAACATAGCATGTATATATCCTACGTATGCATACACTATATCATAGCATTTAAAAACTTAGTCGAATAACCTATATTCAAAAACAGTAAATATTGTTTAAATCGCTATTTTCAAGTTTTTTTTATCACTCATTAGTCAAGGTACGAATTACCTTAACCTATAAGACAAAAAGTACACCCGTCATTAACTTCTGGATTATTTCTCCATTCTTTGGATTATTTTTTACTGTAGATAGAATAAAAGAGTAGTTTCAATTTATATGTCTACGTATCCTCGTTTTGTGACGATACATTTAGTAATAGACCAATCAGGGTTATGTTCTCTACCCTACCCTTAAACAAATTTAAAGATTTATACATGCTACAATAATACTTTTTAGTACATACAACAACTATATATACATAGTGATAGTGCAGATACTCTAAACACAAAAATTTCCAAATCACAAAGAGTATCGCATATTAGCAACTTTTGAATAAAAATAGCCTTCTTGATTTTAAAGCCAACCATTTGATAGTTAATAAAATTTAGGGTCTAGTCTTTGATGATTATATTTTCGAGTGATTTAGATACGTATATTCAAACTGGTTTAGACTGGTTTTGTCTAAGACTAAGAACAGGCTTTTTTTCAGTTTCAGACTAGTTTTAAGATTAATTGTAGCCCTAATAATATTGGATCCGAATATAAACGACTTCTTTATTTTATCAACATTTTGGTTGCTTTTTATTCAGTAAATTAATATATGTATTTGAAATTTTGTAAAAAACAGGCACTAAATATATTTCTTGAAATTCTCGATAAGATCTTCAGGGATTGTTTTTGCAAAAATCCGAATATATATTTATTTATTTACCGAGTAACGAAATTAATTTGAGCTACGTTACGTCATTTATAGGTACGTAATACATATGTTAGAGATCGTGAGTTATACACTGGTAAATTCTTGTATATTTTATAACGATTAAAATCAAAATTATTTCTTACAAAAAGTATTGCGATTGTAAGATGGAATATTAGTGGTCTACACATTAATCACATTAATCTGCAAGGGTTGCAAAAGATCGTAAACATTACACAACTTTAGGAAATTACAGTATAGCGATAGTACCGGAGTATGGTTTGTAACAGACTAGTATGGTTACGCATAATACCGGATTCGTATACGAAAATTTACACGATTTCGGTATTCGGGGACATATATGTAGAAGCTGATTAACCTTTAGCATGATCCATTGGGGTGTGCATGCAAATCAAAATTATATGTGGTTATATAATAAAATCCATTAATGAAGTTTTTCGATAGCGATCGATAGGTAATATAATTATTGAAAAATTTAAATAGATGCATAGTCCTAATGGTTCGATTGGTATCGGATAAAATTTTGCAAAGACCATTATTGCATCTTTACAAACAAAGCTATAGAGCCACTTCTTTAAAGAAGAAACTAAATTAAGTTCTCTCTTGTCCCTTTTTTTTTTTAAGGAAACAGAAAAACATAGCATATTATAAAAGAAATATCTCTATAGCCAGCTTTGTTTTAAAGATGTAATAGTGGTCTTTGCAAATTTTATCCAAAACTATTGAACCATTAGGACTGTGCATCTATTTAAATTTTCAATAATTATTACCTATCGATTGCTATCGAAAAAATCATTAATGAATTTTAACTACATATAGTTTTGATTTACGCACACCCCAACGATCCATGACGATAAATAAAAATGTGCAAGTAGGTACGCGTACCATTGTATAAGAAATCTATTGCTTAACAACCAGATTAAAGTAATAAACAGAGTAAATTCGGGCCAATTAGATATATAAAAGATTAAAAAAAAATAGATACATATTAAAAAAGAAAAAGAGGACTTAAAAAATCCAATTTTCAAAAAAATTAATGCAGTACAGTGGGACAAGCTTGATAATCATGTAATCATCTAGTTAATACAATAATTATCCTGCAAGTATATACTGCATATACTATACTGTTGATTATCATTTTTAAAACTTAACTTTGGAATTTTTTTAAAACATCTATCTGCACGTATAGTAGAACAAAATGATTATTACTTAAGATTGTAGATCAGAATTAAGCAGGGTTACCTTGTAGCTACACATGTACATAAAAAGTTTCGTATTTTTAAGATGGATGGGGCGTTATCTTTTTTTGTGGTTCAAATATTATTATCCACATGATTTAGCATTAGTATCAAACGATCGGAATGGTTGGCAGTGCCACATGCGCACATCAACTGCGAAAAAATAAACCGAAATAATAAAAGGGATACAAATATCGGCCGCTCTTTTCCAATAATAAATAAAAATTTTTCCCCAAAAAATCCTTAGTCTCTTCCCCATTCGGGGCTGAAAATTCAAATTCCTGATTTTCCTGCGCCGTACTTATGTTTCAAGTGCTTTTTTTGACTCATCAAATTTATATATATATCCTTTAATCCAAGTGGTGCATTGACTCAGCCTAATTAATGTGTAATCATCATTTTTTTAAAAAAACATAAATGTACGTGTTTTAGGCTTATTTCATATCTATATATGTTTTCTGGTTTTTTTTTTCTCTCTTTATTTTTTTTTAGTTTCATTTGAATATCATCTAATAAAAAGTTGGGGATTTTCTATGGCAAAATTACCTTTACCTCCTCAACCTGCAAAGGTTGAACCTGTAAAAAACAAACCAAAAAAATGGCATATCCGAGATGATCCGATTACATGGCAGAATTGGTACAAACATATAAATTGGCTTCATGCTTTTGTGCTTCTTTCAACGCCTTTTATTGCTCTCTACGGATTTTTCACTACAGAGATTCAATTGAAAACGTTGATATGGGCAATTATATATTATTTCATAACTGGATTGGGAATTACGGCAGGTTCGTGAAATTTTCCGAACATTTCCAGGTGACTTTTTACTAGAACTTTCGATCTAGTTCAAACTTCTTTTTTGGCTTGAAAAAAAAATTTTTTTATCCAAGCCATTCAAAGCCATCAAGCGGTAATTGTTAGAGATGGGTAAATTGCACATTTTTAGGATTCACAAAAATGATTCTTTAGTTTAAATTAAATACCATGTATTTAAATAAACTTTAGCGACCATTTGTGTCTCTGGCAATTGTGTATTATTGTAGACGATAATGTATTACCGCTATAAATTATACTATTAGTTATTAGAATGGCATCTTTCTTTATTTGGTATCAGTGTAACAAACATCGATTTTTATTGATTACTTTAAAACATCTACTACTAATAAAATTAAATACGCAGGTTATCATAGGTTATGGGCTCACCGTTCTTATAAAGCGAGTCGTCCTTTTGAAATTTTTCTCATATTCGCCGCATCCGGCGCTGTTGAAGGTTCAATTCGATGGTGGTGCAGAGATCATCGAGCTCATCATAGGTGGACTGATACCGAATTAGATCCTTATAATGCTCACAAAGGCTTTTTTTATTCCCATTTGGGTTGGATGTTATTAAAACAGAATCCTTATCGTATGGGTCGTGCTGATATATCAGATCTTAGTGCTGATCCTTTAATTATGTTTCAGGGCAAATATTACGGTGTATTTGCTGGGGTACTTGGGTTTATATTGCCCACAATAGTTGCTGGTTATGGTTGGGGTGATTGGAGAGTGAGTATCAATTAAATCTTTCTCTTAATTTGTCCTTTTATCCTAATTCAAATCTATCTTTATTTAGGGTGGTTTTTATTATGCTGCTATTGCACGTCTAGTTTTTGTACATCATGCAACATTTTGTGTTAACTCCTTAGCTCATTACCTTGGTGATACACCGTTTGATGACCGTCATACACCACGCGACCATTTTATTACTGCAATTCTAAGTTTAGGCGAAGGTTATCATAATTTTCATCATGAATTTCCAATGGATTACAGAAACGCTATAAAATTTTATCAATACGATCCAACGAAATGGTTGATTAAATTCCTTTCATATCTTGGATTCACTCGTCATTTAAAAACATTTCCTGATAACGAAATAAAGAAAGGTCAATTAATGATGAAACAAAAAAAATTAGATGAAGAAAAAACGAAGTTGAATTGGGGTGTTCCATTAGATCAATTACCTATTTATACATTTGATGAATGTAAGCCTAATTTTAAAATTTCTTCTTTATTTCTTCCTTATTTATTTATTATTTATTTCATTTCATTGATTTATAGTTTTGGAGAATGCAATTTCAAATAATTGGATATGTATTGAGGGTATAGTTCATGATGTTAGCAATTTTATGAATGAACATCCTGGTGGTAGAACAATTATCGCTACTTCTTTAGGAAAAGATGTAACCACTGCATTCAACGGTGGTGTTTATAGTCATTCGAATGCTGCTAGGAATTTGATGTCTTCTCTTCGTGTTGGTGTTATTTCTGGTGGTGGTGAAGTTGAATCTCGTAAGAAAAAACAATAATTAGTTACCCACAAATATAATTATTAATTATCATTGAGGGTAGAGATGCTAGTGAAATTAGCTTCTCCAAATTTAACCAATTCAACACCAATTTTACCAATAGTGGTGAACTTAATTCATCACTCTGGTTTAATTTCACCAGCATCTTTAATTGGTGAGAGCGTTCACATGACTTGATTAATTTCACGTGTTTGTATTTGCGTCCATCTTTTGTATGTATATATATAAAATATATATATATCATCATCCTTTGCATCCTTGCAAAGATGTTAATAAACAAAATCATCTCTATATAATATTTAATGTGGCGGATTTTCATATGATTGGCAGATAATTAGTGCCTATTCGAAGGCTACCGAATTTTCATGTGAATTTCAGAGATTACATAATTAATCATTCTTAAAAGACCTTAAGAGACATTCGAAAAAAAAAAGTTATATAATATCTAGCTTTGAAAAAGCATGCCTCTGACGATCACGTCAGGAGTTAAAAATAAAAATAAAAAGTCATCTTCTAAACCCGATGTACTTAATCCGATATGTATTACGAATTGGTCTGCTTGACATTACAACTGTTTTCATTATTTTTGAGACATCTGGTAAAAAATTGATCGAATGATTATTTGTCGATTCGTTAAACTTTTGATTTGAGTGTAATTAGTAATTACGCTAATTATATATATTGAACGATACTACAATGTCAACGCATCCAAAATTGAGTTTTCACTTGAACGTATGTCCAGTGTGTTTGGTTGCTTGGTGTGTCGTTTTTGCCAATCAACAGATCTTGACAAAAAATATAAAAAAGGTTTAGAATACAAGATATGCTTCATAATAAATACATTACACGAGCAGGCGCTAATGAAAAAAAGTTCAATAAGAACAAGAATTGATTACTGATTTAAAAAAATGTATAAAAAATGTATAAAGCAAGTAATTATTTCAAAAAACAAAGATTTTATTAATCTTTATCGAAACAGAATAAATATTTTATTTAAAGGTTTTAATGTATAATGATTATTATAAAATATAAGTTAAAAAGAAAACTATGCAGCAAGAATTATATGAAGTATTGAAACAATGGATTTGACGACTAAAGAACTTGGGTTCTCTATTATAATTTGTATCGGATACAATCTTTAACAAATTATACTGATTGAAATATAAATGAAAGCCTATGACGTCACTCAACACTAATTATCGCTTGCATCTCTTATTGTAAAGTCCGATACTTATAAGTTTTTCCTGTACAGCACTCATATAATTATTGTCATTTAGCAAAGATATATACTTTATTACATAATCGATCATTACCGAAATCAAAAACTTATCGAATCGGTCAAACAATTATTCGGTCAATTTTTGTACTAGATGTCCCAAAAATAATGAAAACAGCTGTAATGGATATGGATATCCCGAATTATCGGATCTATCCAGATTACACTAGCCATGACAAAAGCGACTTACTATATACCATGTGTTAACAATCTTATCAGATCCTTCCTGGGTGATCTTAAACTAAAAATTAAAAAAAAAAAAAAAAGCATGCTTATTTCCCTAGCCAATGATAAGATGGTTAGAAAAATATTTATGGATTGGTCATATTAGATACTTGGGACGGACTGAACCGTCATTATGTTTCCGACTAATTGACTTTTTAATATTTGCTTTTCGTTTTTTTTTGTTGGTGGTTGTTAGATAATCGTTATCGTTAAATTTGACAGAAAACAGAAATTTTTGTGATCGTCAAATCAGATGAAAGCCCGCCATGCAATTTGCTGATCATTTAACTGTTAATTAAACATACCTTAATTTTCCGACGCTTAAATCTATCTCTATGGCAAAATGGTCTCCATATCTAAACTGCGCAGAGAAGAATTGACAGCAATCATTGCTCAAGAACTACATATAGATGTTGCTTTTCCTTGCTTTTCTGTTAAAGAGCAGTATGGCTCTACGGCTTGCTGTGTGGTGGGTATTACATTAACCAATAATTTCAAATCTTTCTTAAACCTGTCCTTTTTTCAAGAAAAAGCTGACTATTCAAACAAAATCATAGGTCCATAAACATTGGTTTACTGCCCTAAGGCAGTCCAAGCTCGGTGAAATCACAAAAATCAACAAACATGCTGCTGCTCGCTCTCCCTTAAATAACCTTTCGGATCAAACTAACGATCATCAAACTTCAACGACCAACGTACTAGTCACTGTGTATTTGAAGCAAAATTTATCTGACCTCAAACTTAGGTTAGTTCTGCATTAATTAATTATTTTATGTATAATATAGTATAATATCATTCCAGAATCTCACATAATTTGTTTTCTCAGTAAACCGCAATTATATGCTCGAAATATTTCCGAAAACAGTTTTAACTACTCTTTTAATTTCCATGAGCGAGGTGACTTACCTTTAAGATATTTTCTTAAAGAACAACTTGAAGGAAAACCGTTACTAAGTTTGGCTGATATTGAGGAACAATACAATAATTACACATCTATATTTTCTGATCATGATTTTCAAAATCCTGAAAATTTGTCTGAATTGGATGTCGAACTGGCTAGGCAAAAAGTAGTCTTATTTTTTTTTTTTTATAAATCTTAATTTAACCTAAATACTTTTTTTCTTACTGAATTCTTAATATTTATAATATAAAAGGCATTTGTGAAAAAATTTATAGAAATATTATATCCAGAAAGTGCTTATTTTCGAATCGTATCCCAGCCTGAAAATGTTGATGATATTTTATTTGTAGAAGCTGTTTCTCAACCTGACTGGTCTTCAGATATGCCTATAACAACAAGTCCAAACATTATTGATGTCTTTGCAGTCTTGGAATCTGAGCGTGCATATTACTTTATGGCTCCATATAGTGGCACTACTTTAGAAGATTTGCTAAAATATAGTTCCGGTGTATTAAATTCTAATGTAAAAAAATCTTTTATCCTATACCAATTATTAAGAACCGTTCAAAATCTCCATATGAGAGGTGTTATTCATGGAGGGTTAGTATTAATGGAGGCTTTTTTCTAAAAGTTTATATTTTAGTTAAACCATTCGAACTTATCATTAATATAGGCTTAAACCATCTAACATTTTGGTGGATGAAAATCTATGGGTGACGCTTACGGGATTTGAATGTTCCATACCAAAAACTGAAGATTTATCAGGTTTGTATTTCATGATAATACAAGTTTTTAATAATGGTCGTGAATAATATATAAAACAATTCTTTCTTAATATAATTAGATAAAACAAATCAACATATGAATCATGATTTTTCTTTGGAAAATATTCCAAAAGGTATCTAGTTGTAGTTTATACAAATTATGTATATATATATATGTTGTGTATAGTAGAATTAAAATCATTTGCAAACTTATAGAAATTCAAAATGATTCTCTCACAATGAAATGGGTACATGGAAATATATCAAATTTTGATTATATAATGGCTTTGAATCATCTTGCGGGTTAGTAGATATTTTGTTGGTTCTTTTTTAGTAAATAAAACCATTATCTCATTAAATCGGTTCATACATAGGCAGAAGGATTGGTGACCCAAATTTTCATCCAATTTTTCCATGGATTACGGATTTTACTGGTGCATCTGTTTCAGAAAATTGGCGGGATTTTACAAAAACTAAATTTCGCCTAAACAAAGGCAAGGCAAATATAATTCGATTATTAAATAGATTCAAAGTATCTCTTTTTACTATTGTGTTTAGGTTTGAATATTGATAATAATTGTTTAATAGGCGATGAGCAATTGGATTTTACATATGATGGACCAGTACCTCATCATATCACCGATATATTATCTGATATCACTTATTATGTGTATCTAGCTCGAAAAACTCCTATTCCGGTCTGTTATTGATCTTTATAAGTAACTCACTTTATTAATTATGTATCATCTAACTGTGATATTTTGTTGTATAGGTGTTATGTCAGTATGTAAGAACAAAATATGAACCGAACGAGTATCCATCCTCATTACAAAGATTGTTCGAATGGACTCCTGATGAATGTATCCCAGAGTTTTACACAGGTCTGAAAATGTAATACTTTTTGCATTACGTGTCACATATGAAATGCAAGTCAAATAATTTCTAACTATTAAATACCATTTAGATCCAAGTATTTTTACTTCAATACATCCGGACATGCCGGATTTACAACTTCCAACGTAATATATATATATTTTTTTTTCTTAAAAAATATAAAATTAATGGTTATGAATATTTACAAGATAATGATCTAAATTTTAATTTGGCTAATTTATTAATTTTATTTATTATAGATGGGCTTCTTCGGCTGAAGAATTTATACGCATTCATTCGGAAGCTTTAGAAAGCGATCATGTATCGAAAAATTTACACATTTGGATTGATTTGACTTTCGGGTGTAAACTTAGTGGTAATTCACAAGTTCATTGACTCTAAACACTCACTCCATAATAATAATATGGTGTGAGATTGTTGTGAATAACTTATAAATAACTTTTAAATAGATATTTATAGATTACGGTTATATATTACTTGATAGGTGCTGACGCGGTTGAAGCAAAAAATGTTGCATTACCGCTTTTGGACGGTCAAAATTCCTTTATGAAGCACGGGATCACTCAACTTTTTTCGGATCCACATCCACAGAAAATTGTGATATCTGATAGTAATAAAAGGTTTTTTCAAAAGTTTTTACATATAATTTATTCTTATATAATGTAACTATTAATTTAATATCCTTCTGTTTAGACCTGTAAATATTAATGGCAGTATGTCATTATTAGAAAAATATGAAAGTATCTCGAGTAAAAAGCGAATACAACTCAAGCCTACGGATTCGAATAAACAATTAGCTGATGTCGTTGGAGATTTGTTAGGATCTGAAAAGACCATTGGAAAATATCAAACTGTATCTTCGCGATTAAAATCACCAAAGTTAGCTCCTACTTCAAAACAATTATCGCTGTACGATGTTGTTTCACATGATGAAAAGGATCAGAAAGAACCTACTTCTCGGTTTGAAGCTTTATCCGCATATATTAATTCTTTTCCGATACATTTACCGAATGATATTGGTGATGAGTGCTTTATTGAAAGCCTGAACAATTTTGAACAAGCACATTCTTTTTCTGCAAAATATCTTCTACACAAGTGTATAAAAAACGAGTATTCACAGCATTTTGGTAAGATTCAGAGTAGTCATAAACAAGGCACAACAAATGAAACAGTTGAACAATATTTTGCATATGGACGGGCATGGGATGCTTATTGCCTTGGAGAAATCATTCAAAGTATATATTCTATTGTAAAAAATGATGCCGGAATATCAACTCTTTCAATACACCAACATCAAACTGGTGCATATCAAAATGACCTTTTTAAGGTAAGGTATTTTCTGAAATAAGGTTTTCCATTTGTTTGCATTAAATTGTTTTTTAGAGCAAGTTTACAAATATGAATTAACCAAATATAATATATTCATATTTATGTTTAAGCTACCACTTTCCGTGCAAAAAGTTGTGTCATCATTAATGTCTCCAAATTGGAAACAACGTCCTTCAATTGATGCTTTACTTTATTCATCCGTTCCTGTAATGGGTTTATATGATGAAGGTTTAACCTTGCCATTGCCAGAATGTGTTCCTGAAGTTTATGAATTCTTGACCGATTTTCATCGGGTGTAAGTCATTTATATTTTTCATGTAAACTATTTGCTAACAAATATTGTAAGCATAGTAATATTAATATTACATTACTTGTTATAATTAATAATAGTGATTGGATTGGAAGGCTAAAACTTACAGAACATTGGATGGATAGGCTCTGCAAACTTATTGATGAGGTATATCATTATCAATGACTATAATTGATACAAAGTTATTTATTTATTAAATTTAAATTTTTGTTTTAAATATATATTAGGCCTTTCTCATGATTCTACCAAGCTTAGTGCTACTGTTTACAGTTGATATTATAAAAATTGAAGCCTTGAATATTTTTTCAAGTCTCGGACAAAGATTGGGTCAAGATGACACAAAGACTTACCTTTTGAAACCAATAATTTCCTTATTTGAAGTATAGCCTTTTTTTTAATTTTATAATACTTTTTATTTCTTATTAATCTAAAATTATAATATTTTCTGTTTGTAATTGATATACATAGTCGTCGCGACCTTCAATACCTAAAGCATTATTTCATCCCGTCATTGTTACAGAATTTGTGTACCGATTTGGCATCACGAATTTCTTACAGCAACTTTTCCCTCTTTATTTAGAAGCGCTAACTATTGAAGATAATATTTCACCTTATGATTTCAATGACGCAAAACTTTCATTTGCACAAAAATCAAATTCTTTAAATGATATGATTTCAAGTCCAGCTTCTGCACCTGATGATCCGTCAAGTTTGGATCACGCATTGCCATTAGTAGCACAGTTCGCAAATTCTGCTTTGGTCGATATCTGGTGAGATCGAATTCTAATTGTATTTTATTTCAATATTTAAGACCTTTTTTATAACAGAATATAATTATCCCTTAGTACGCTTATAGGGCCTATTTTAACATCCAAACATATAATGAGGCAAATTTACAAACTGTTGCTCAAAGAAAGTTCAACGTTGCCTTTTTTAATGCAGTCAATACTTGCAATTGGTATAATTTAAGATTCTTTTTAAGTCTTGAATATTTTCGTTGTTAGTTTAGTAATTACGATTATTTTATAGGAAATCAATTTGGTGAAACATTTACTCATTTGCAATTCACCCAAGTTATTTCAGTAATTCAGCAATACAGTTCATTACCCATGAATAAGAGAAATTATTCTATATTATGTAATCATTTATTTCTTCTAGAAAAGGTTTGTTGATGCATATTTTGTTTACTTAAAAATTTGATATCAGTAATACTGATTTGATATCATATTTATACATAGCTCACCACATTAATGCCAACGCCTAAAGTATTAGCAGAAATAGAATCTGGATTCTCTGATACTTTAATAAAACTTTTAGTTCAATTCAATAATGATGATTCTCTTAATCAAAACAACAAACCTGTAGATAAAAGCTCATTTAAGGGCACATCAATTAATATATTAAAAAATCAATTATCTATTAGTATGAAAAGTGCAGGGTTCTTACTGCATGTTTGTAATAATGTTGATAAAACAGATTGGGAGCGTAGTGTAAGGCAAACTGATTTTTATAGCAGTGTTTAATATTTTATTTTTATTTTATTATTATTATTATTATTTTACTGATGCTTGTTATTTTATAGATTGCCCCAATATTACAGAAATATTTTGAAACTTTTGAAAAATCATTAGAAAGTTTAGGCATGGAAGAATTTGAGCAAGAAAGAAATAATCAGGTTTGAATTAATCATTTATTATTAAATTTGTTAACAACGACAACATTTATTCAAACTGTTTTCACATTAGATTATGTATACATACTCACAATTATGTATTCTGTTTGATCAAGAATCTGTACGGGAGGCTATTCCTGCTAGGTTTGCTGCATATATTTATTACAAGATTTTTGGTACTATTTTTAACTATTAGCTTAGTCTTAATTGTTTTTTAATGACAATTCAGCGAGGCAATCGAACTTGCAACATGTGGTTCATCCGAATTAAGTGCTTTATTACTTTCGGTACCAATACGGTCACCGCCTGAAAACCATTTATCCAGTGATCGTGCTAGCATTGCATCAAGATCCTCTTCTCAGGACAAAAGTGCTAGCCCAAGTACACCTAGGTTTATTGCAAATTTGGAAGATAAAAAACAATTGACTTTGAATGCTGGGATATTATCAACAAAAGAAGTTACAACTGCAATATCAGCCACCACTACATTGAATAAGACTTTTTCATTGTTTGCAGGTGAAGGAGCTAGTAGAAAACTACATGATATTAATCATCAAGTTGCTAATGGAGTGTCCGTAAAAAATGTTGCTACACCTGTGAAGAATAATAACTTATCAAACGCTGGACCCGCTAAAAAGTAAATAATTTTGTGGAATAATTGCATGTGTGTTGTGTAATTTAATAACAATTCCCTTTTTAGATCAAGACTTAAAGGAATTAACCTGTCTTGGAGAACAAAGAGCTCATCTAATGAAGACTTAAAGTAATTAGTCTTTAATATTACAAAGTGTTTTTTTGTTATTCTCGATAAATTTTTTTTTAATAAATTTATATAATTTTAGGAACTGGACTCGGTTTTTATCAACAAATTCAGGTACTGCTTATTTATTTATTTAATCTTATAGATAATCGTGTAAATCATGTCATCAAAATTTCAACGTACTTATATGCTTGCTTTGACATTAACAGAAGAAATGTCGAACTCATTACAATTTACTTTTAATGACTTGAAGCTTCGTACTTTTTCTGGTATGTTAATCGACAAATTATTTATTTGATAATTAATTATATTATTTATTTGACAATTAGTATTTACATTTTATCTTGACAAACAGGTCATTCGTCAGCTGTTCGTTCTTTTGATGTCAATGAACATGCTCGGCTAATAGCGTCTGGTTCAAAAGATCGCACAGTAAAACTTTGGTCATTAGACTTTCATAACGGAATAGAAAACTCAGATAATGAACCATTTTCTGACTGTTTGATTACATACAATGGACATAAAAAGACTATAGTCAGCGATGTTCATTTTATCAGTGGACGAGGTGGTGGTTGGGGGCTTGGAGATGTTATTGCTAGCAATGATGGGCAGATACATGTAAATATTATGTGAAGTAAACCTTTTCATATACATTTTTATTAATAGTTTATGATTTATTTATAGATTTGGGATCCAGAAACAGGACAAATATTGCATCAATTTAGAAATGATAGAACACCATATTTATCTATCAAACCGATATTTAGATCCAGATCCCTTGTTAGTGGATTAGGAGATACTTCCATCGCGTAGGCTTTAATTCAGAATTCAAATTTTCATTATTCATCTAATACAAGTTATGAATTAATTATTTTATTTTTACTGAACAGGTTCTTTGATACCATGACGTATAGTCCATTATATTCATGGAAATCCTGTCCTGCGTTTGCTGGTCCGTTAATAATCAAATGATTTTAGCTACTCTAAATAAATGCTAACTTATTTTATACAACTTATTTAGGTAACATACGTACTCTATGTGTGAGCCCATCTGAGACATTAATAGCAGTTGGTTTTTCTAGCGGAGTAATATCGTTATTAGAGTCAAGAACTGGTAGATTAATTAAAAGTTGGAAAGCTGGAGACACAGATATATCTCATGTAAGTCATATTTACACTGCGTAATCCATTTAATATATATTGTCATATTCCTCGATAAATTTTTCTCTAATTGAAATATAGATGAAATTTTACACAAACAATTATCTTGTATCACGCGCATTAGCTGACCATTTAATTTGTATATGGGATACTAATACTGGCTCATTAATTAATAAAATTCGAGGTAGTTTTTTATTTCATTTGTCTTTGTGCTAAATATTACTCTAAATTTACTTACCGATTTTATAACAATTATATTAGTTAATTCTGACATCGTATCACTGAATTTGTATAAAGATGAAGTTATTACTGTTAATAATAGTAACACTATTACGTTCACCCCATTGAACGAGAATGTATGTCTTTTAACTTTATTGATATAACAGTTTTATATGTATTTTAATACTCTATAATTGAACCTGAATTTAATTTATACCTTTATTATCAGTATCAGGCATATTCATCAAAATTCAAAAGCTCAACAATCAAGACAACAGTTACAAGTTCTGAAATTTTACCCATTAATCAACTTATATTGCTGGGATGTTCCGAAGGGAATTTGTTTTTATACGCTTAAGTAGTTGGGTTTAACTGAGATAAATTCTAATACTACTGTGAACGTCCTAACCTCGTTCTTGATGTTGATAGCTGCTACAGCTAAGCAAGTACATTTAATGAAAATCATTGTTGATAATCTATTATATATAACTTGCCTTGTTTATCTATTCATCATATTTTTAATAAAATTTTTTTTTAATATTGGTTTTTTTTAAATGAATAAATATGTGTCACACCCTGCAATGTGCTTATACATCGCATGTATATATAAATAGATGTAATATAAATAAAAACATTCGGAATTTTTTGTTTAGTTAGGTTGGGTTGAGTAAAAGAAAAAAGGTTTATAATAAAATTTGCAAGGAATTTTTATTTTTTATAGTTTCATATGTGAAATTTGATTTTTGACAAAACGGTCAATCATTAAGATGCACATCACGGGTAGTGATGCAAACGGCTTGAACCGAGCCGCGAGCCATACAGCTACAAGTCTACTAATAAAGCATCGGCTCTAGACTTTGAAGTCGAACATGGAGCCGTGAGCCGATCGATCTTCCCCAGTATCGCCTGAAAAATGAACTCATACAGGGGGATCAAGGACCTGTAAAATTTTAGCTTTAAAAATTTAAAATTTTTTCTAACAAAAATTTTAGACAAATTTTAGTATAAATTTAATAAATTTTAGATAAATTTTGATTTAAATTTAATAAATTTTAGATAAATTTTGATTTAAATTTAATAAAGTTTAGATAAATTTGATTTAAATTTAATAAATTTTGATTTAAAATTAAAAAAATTATGATATTTCATTCTTTTGTTTTGTTAAAATACAATATTGTAAGCATTTTCAATGATTTAGTACTTAGATTTTGCTAATTGTCTCAAAGAATATTATTATAAGCAGAAAAGTTATGCTGTAATATTATAGATATTTTTAAATATTATTTTATATTATTTTATTGATATTATATTAGTTTTATATTATATTTTATTATGATCTATTTTTAAATCATTTTT